GCTGTGTTCATCCAGCTCTACACCTTGTTATCTCAGATTCTCCAGCATCTGCAGTCCCTACTATCTTTGCAGCAATACTACTATTAGGCCATCACTACCCCCTCCCCCACCTGTGACCATGGAACAATGCTGTCCACACATTCACCCTAAGAGACCATCTTAGGAGTAGGGATAGCTGCTTTTCTTCCCTACTGAACAATGAACCAGCAGGGCTTTTGCAGTTCACTAGATTCATGGTCACTTTATTGATATCAACTTGCAAGTGATGGTGGTGAGATCAGAAATTGTGTCTGCAAACATTACCAAGGCTTCTGGATTCGTCGTGCAGCAATGTAACCATTACATTAGTACAACTCTAACAAATGTGTTTCCCATGTGCACTGGGAAAGTACAGGAATGGAAATTTGGAACACAATCCGCATTTTGATTGCAACCTACAGTTTAAGTGGTCTACTCATCAAAACAGGTGACAGTGGGAGAATTCAATGTTGGTTATACTCCCAAGATTAAAAAATACTGAAGTGATTTAAGAACATCTGGCAAAGAGAGCACCACTAGACTTAACTGTTCTCACTGAAAATAATGCAAAGTGGCAGTGACCACCTGTGACTTAAAATCTCTGTATTGGGAAGGCAGTGTGCACAGCATACTGAATTTCAGAAGGGTCCGGGATAAGTTGATTGAAAGACTTGGACAGGGTTGTAGTTCTAGTAGAGGGCACAGGTTTAAATCGTCCCCTCTCACCTTAAAATGGACCTAATGGGCAACTTTTTGACGCAGAGGGTGGTGCGTGTATGGAATTAGCTGCCAGAGGCTCGTACAATTACAACATTTAAAAGGCATCTAGATGGGGACATGAATAGGGAGGGTTTACAGGGATATGGGCCAAATGCTGGCAAAAGGGGCTAGATTAATCTAGGGTATCTGATCAACATGAATAGTTTGGACCAAAGGGTCTGTTTGCGAGCTGTACGTCTCTGGCACCTTTAAGCCAGCAAAACTCCCCAGTTGTCATAGCAGTAACAAGAATCAGATCTGAATTTAGAGGGCACAATCAAAAAGCTGGGTCTTCAAATTAAAAAAAGGTGGTTTAACGCGGGAGCAGGCAGCTAAAGGCATAAGCTCCACAGAGCAGCGCACAAACAATGCTGACAATCAGCAGTATGAGCATAGACAAAATATTGGCTCGGAGGATAAGGCAGGCCATTTTCAGGATGCAACCTGTAACTAGCACCACAAGGATCAGCGCTGGGGCTACAATTACTGAATATATTTATGACTTCAGTGAATTCTGCAGAGGGATGTAGACGGCTTTAGCAAATGGACAAAAAAAACTTGGCAATTGGGATAGAATGGTGACATGAGAGGCGAAGCACTTTGGCAGGAAGACCAAGATGCTGAATGTAACTTAAATGGAGAAAGACTGGGGGGAAACAGGATGAAGAGTCCTTGTCCACAAATCACAAAGCTCGCTTCTGCAGGTAATGGGGAAGGCAAGTGGAATGCTGACCTTTATGGTAAAGGGAATGGAGGACGCAAATTGGAGGCTTTGCTAAAACTACACAAAGCATTAGACAGACCACAGCTGGAATACCTGAGCAAATGTTTGTACCGACAGCACCTCCAAGGGCAACTAGGGATGGGAAATAGATCCTGACCCAGTGATGCCCACATTCGCCACCGTGCTCCCTCCCCTCCACAACACCAGAGTTTTGGTCCCCTTACCCAAACGAAGAAATACTCGCATTGGAGGCAGTCCATAGCTGGTTCACTCGGGTGGTCCTGGGTATGGAGGACTGTCTTGAGCAGAATGAATAGGTTGGGCCTGTACCCACTGGCATTCAGGAGAGGTGACCACACCAGAACAAAGATTCTTATGAACTTGAAAGGCTGTTTGCCTTTGTGGGAGGGTCCAGGACCAGAGGGCATAGCTTCAGAAGGGGTTGCACATTTAAGACAGAAATGAGGAAGAAATTCTTCTGAAGGTAGTGAATCAGTGGAATTCCTCACTGCAGGCAGTTGTCAAGTCTGGGTCATTAAGTATATTCAAAGTTGAGATTTTTTTTTAAAATCAGGATGAGAATCAAGGGTTTGCGGAAAAGGATTTGAGATCGGCCATGATCTAAATCAATGACAGCAGAACCGATGGGCTGAATAGCCTACTTTGTTCCTATGTCTTGTCCTGCAGTTAAGATGATGCTCATGGCTGTTCTGGGAAGGACAGACAGCCTACAAGTTTCCAATCCAGCTAAGCGGCTCTTTGCCTCATCCCCAGGGCAGGGTCAAGAGCAATCCAAAAAGGGCTTGTTTCCTACACTCTGGGCCAAGCCCACGCCATATACTCCACAGCAGACAAAAGCTGGTGGGAATAGTCAGTCTGTTCCCAACATTGCCCGTCATCCACCCGCAGCCCAAATGTAGCAATTCTCAAGGTTACACAATAAGATACACGACCGAAACACATTTAAGATTCAGGAACACACAGCACTGGGGACAGAATGGAGTAAACACTGGCTATTCTATGCTCTCAGGTTCAGAAGCGCTACCATCGGAGCAGGCCCTTCAATCACTTGGAACAGTCAACAACCCAAGGCCTGGGAAGTGGAGCTGAATGGGCAGAACTGTGGCAGGGATGCTCAAGTCCACTGTAAAAGATGAGGCCTTATTCAGGTAGTCACTCAGTCCCTCTTGAACTGGTAAGCACAGAGATCCATCTTTCAGGTGAAACCTGGAAGAGGGTCATCGCTACCTCAACCTTGCCCTCCTGGTGCTTCTAAAATTAAAACCGCACAACTACTATTGGACAGGAACTGGGGAAAATGTTTTAAAATTGCACATAGAAGTTTGTGGGAGCTTCCCCTGCACAAATTGGCTGCAGCACTTGGATTACATTTTGAACATTGATTGCTAAATTTCGTATGAACAGAGGGGGCTGAAGGTGCTGTTGGAATCGAGAAGTGTACGAGAGAACAGGGTTTGGTGCAATGCTAGCCTTCCCTGGCTAAATCCCTAGTCTTCTAGGAGTATGGGCACTCCAAGGCACTGCGGAGTGGACAGAACATATTGCTCAAACTAAGATCAACCAAAAGTAACTTTCAGAAGGTAGAAAGATCCTAGAGTTGACAAGTTCTTGTAATTGAGAACCAGGTTTCAGGAAGTGTATTGCAAGAGCTCTTGTAAAATACAACATTGCGCAATGCCTCATGACTCAGATCACGTACATCAGGAAGAGTTTTGTAAGGGATAAGAGGAACAGAGCACAGACTGTGGGGAGTGGGGGTTGGAGACTGCACAGCAAGGTTCACTAACCTGAGCTGAAGGAGAGGCTATATTCACTTGAAGCTAGAGCAAGGAGACAAAATGAGATTGAATGGGACAGGACAGGGCTGAGAGACTATCCCCCTGACCAGGTAGAGAAACAGTCTCAGGATGAGGGGCTGATCTTTGAGGACTGAGGGGATGAGATGTTTCTCACTCAGGAAGACCAATCTTTGGAATTCTCTACTCCAGAGGGCTGTGGATGCTCCATCACTGAATGCACTGAAGGCTGGGATTGTTACAAGCTTTGGCCTAACAGCAAATCAAGGGAGATATAGGGAGCAGACAAGAAAATGGAGCAAGGCCGCAGGTAAAGAACAGCAGAACAGGCTCAAAAGGGCTGAACAGTCTACACATCCCCTGTTAAGTTTCAGGTCAAGATGTGATGGGCGCTGATGTATCTGTGGAATGCCTCAGCATGTTAATTCTGTTTCCTCAGGGAACTGGGCCAGATCACCCCTCCGTACTCTGCACCCACCCCCCACCTCCACCCCAACCTCGGTGGATGCAGGTAGTTATGTTTGACACATTTGGATAAGTACATGAATAGGAAAGGTTTGGAGGGACGTGGGCCAGGAGCAGGCAGGTAGGGCTGGTTTAAGCTTGGGATTATGGTTAGACCGAAGGGTCTGTTTCCATGCTGCATGACGACTCGGACTCTTTACCTTGGCCAGCCGTGCTCGCTTGATCAGGTCATTGAGTTTTCTCAGTGCCGCATTCCTCGGCAGGCTCTGGATGTCCCTGAACAAGTCCTGCTCCTCGGCCTCAAACAGCTTCCGGTTCTCGGCGATGAGGAGGGGCTGCGACCAGAAGGAGCCAATGTAGACACGAATCACCTCTGGTGTGTTGATGATCTTGCCGAGTGACCACATGAGAGCACCGTAGACCCGCATCAGCTGCTGCGTGTGGATTTGGTCAGCCTTGTTGAGCACCACCCGGATCTTGTCCTCGTGGTTCTTCATGGCCTTGATGACCTCTGAGAACTCGTCCGAGATGTCCAGCTTGTGGGCATCAAACAGCAGGATGATACGGTCCACCCGCTCAGCGAACCACTCCAGCACCGCCGCAAAGTCATAACCTGAAAAAAAAAAAAACCAATGCCAGGGGAGTTAGAACTCAAAAGCTAGGAGGAAGCCATCGAGCCCCTCAAGCCCACCCTGCCATTCTACAAGACCATGGCTGATCTGCCCTCGGCCTGAACTCCTCTTTCCTGCCAGCTCCCGTGGCACTTAATCCCTGTTTTTAAAGTCTACCTCCTAAAACAGTGACCTACCATCTAACTGTAATCCCAGACATTCACCTCCCTCTGGGAGAAGACATTCCTTTGGATCTGTTATGATGGCCCTTAGTCGGAGATTCACTCACTAGTGGCAACATCTCACCATCTACACTGTCAAACCCCCTCTCAATCTGTTTCAGTAAGATCAGCCCTCATTCTTCTAAACAAATGAATTAAACACTAACCTGTAAGTATTCTTGATAAGCCAAGCCAGGGACGAAGGGCTTGTCACACGAGGTGCAGTTAAGGACTATGGGTCTATACACAATACAGTTTAGAAGATGAGATGGGGGAGATTTCAAATTTGCAATACCTGAAGGGTCTGGATAGAGCCATTTGCCAGCATTTGGCCTATATCCCTCTGCACCCATCCAGATGCCTTTTAAATGTTGTAATTGTACCAGCCTCCACCACTACCTCTGGCAAATCATTCCATACACGCACCACCCTCTGCGTGAAAAAGTTGTGCTTTTAGTCCTTTTCTCCCCCAGTCCTCTTAAACCTATGCCCACGAGTTTTGGACCCCACCGCCCCCTGACGCTCCAGGGAAAATAGCCCCAGCCTATTCAGCATCTCCCTATAGCTCAAACCCTCCAACCCTGGCAATATCCATTTAAATCTTTTCTGAATCTTTTCAAGTTTCACAACATCCTTATAACAGGGAGACCAGACTTGCAGGCAGTATTCCACAAGTGGCCAAACCAAAGTCCTGTGCAGCCACATGACCCTCCCAACTCCTGTACTCAATGCACTGACCAATACAGGCACGCATACCAAATACCTTAACTATCCTGTCTAGCTGTGACTCCACTTTCAAGGAACTATGAACCTGCGCTCCAAGGTCAGAACCTTACCATTAAGTGTGCAAGTTCTGCCTGGAGTTGCTTTTCCAAAATGCAGCACCTCATTTACCTAAAAAAACTTCATCTGCCACTCCTCTACCCACCTGATCATGGTCCCATTACACTGAAGTAATCTCCTTCACTGTCCACTCCACCTCCAATTTTAGTGTCATCTGCAAACTTACTGACCATACCTCGGAGGAAAACTGCAGACAATCACCAACCCCTTGTTCAGTTGTGACAAGATAAACACCTGCCCTGAGCAAGGAAGGCCAATTTCCATTTGTCTTAATTATTGCTACACTGGCATTTGAACTTTGTGCACAAGAACACCCAGATCCCTCTGCACTGCATGATTGGGAGGCTCTCCTTTGAAATACTCCCTTTTGGGTCTTCCTACAGAGTGCATGACCTCACTTTCCTACATGAAATTGCATGTGCAAAGTCTGTGCCAATTTCTTACCTCAACATGCCCCCTCAGCTGCCAATCTAGATATATCATATTCTATCACTCCTTCCACATCAATATAGGAACAGGAGCAGGCCATTCAGCCCAATTAAGTTTCACTATTGACATGGCTGATCCGTGGCCTACTTCACATAGCTGCCCGAGGCCCACATCATCTTACCCTCTACATTCCAGAGAAAACAAGCCTTATTTGTATAATCTCTCCTTGAGCACCCCTGAAGTCAGGTATCATTTTTCTAAATCCATGATGTGTTGCCAATCTATCCTTCCTAAGGTGCGGTGCCTAGGTCTGCTTACAGTACTCCAAGTGAGGCCTAAATAATTGAGACCCTAGCTTGATCCCTGTGTCACATCGTTCCACCCTGATAAAGACCCATTAACCCCGACTTTCTCTTGCGTTAACCAAACCTTAATCCATGCCTACACAAGAACGCACAATTCTGAGTGTTTACCCTGTGCAATAATCTTGTGGTACCTTATCAGTTCAAATGCACCATGGCCACCAAATCAACTGTGCTTGTTATATCCTCAAGTGATCAAAGTTTAGCTGGAGATTCCCACGGGCTGAGGTACGCATCCTGTAATCAACAGGAACTGCTCAAGGTGCTGTTTGGGTGACAGTGAGAGAGTTGTCATTCTCAGCACCAATATCTGTGGTTAATAATTCACACATACTGAATGGGCCCCAATCACAATCTGGCACTGTGCCCTTTTCGCCAGGGCTCTTCTCTCAACCATCACTGGCTGATTTAGTATGAAGCCAAAGGTCTCCCTCCCACACCAACCTGACCAATTCTTCTAGAATCAGCTCCCTGGGTCTAATTGGTGTTCGAAATTGGACATTAGAGGGTCCAATTGCAAAAAAAACTTGCAGACAAGAAATCAAATTTCAGCAGAGAATGGTGCAGGGGATTTTTAAAAGAGTAACCTCATTGAAAGGACGCTCATCACAATCACCAACTAAGTTTTTTGTTAATGGCCACCAGTGGTCATGTTGAAATCACTGTACACGGGTGTTCACTGTGGAATAAATACTGGACCCAAGGTACCAGCGAGAACCCCTCTCCCCACCAACCTGGAAATATGGGTGTAAACAATCCTGTCAAATTAGGCAGGGGAGGCCTCCATTGTAAGCTTCATGGGAAATACAGGCCCTCCAGCCCACCTTCTTCAAAGAGTCTAGCCTTCATTAAACATTAGCCTTGACATTTCAGCTTAAGCCGTAGTGTGGATCTTACACCCAGCCTGCTATGCACTAAACCACAGGAAGATTAAAAACTAAAACATACATGATCAGTAGTAGTTTTAGACTTCTGCACAAAATCTTTCCAAATACTCTGCCACTTTCCAAAACTGAAATCCCAAAGCTGGGTGGGTTATGCTAAATGTGTTTCAGCTAAATATCACACTTTACTCAGTAATTTCACAGCCTGAGCGCACAATCCCAGCTGATACTGAAGGTGGTGACAGAAGTCAGGGATAGTAGGAATGCTAAAAGACAACAGGCCACATCAACAAAAAAATTGGATCAAATATCAAGGTGGCCATGAGCACCCTGCTAATTTGTCTTTTTCCATTGTGTGATGTGCCCACCCAATTTGTTGCCCATCTCTAGGACTGAGCATCTTATTAGGGTCATTTCTGAGGACATTAATCAGATCACTGTGGGTCTGTAGTCTCAGACCAGGGAAGAAGAGCGCATTTACCTTCCCAGTGTATCAGATGAATTTTTATGACAATTGTCAAGAGATTGGAGATTGACCAGATTTTTACTGGAATTCAAATTTCCCAATTGGCTTGGTAGGATTTGAATCCATGTCCACAGAACATTAGCCTGGGCGTCTGGATTAGTAATCCAGTTACATTATCACTGTCTTGCTTGGCTTAGATAGGTCTCGTGCTCCTGTCACCTGCTGTTGCAACATCTGCTTTAGAATCACTGCAAGAAACAAAACCTGGAGATCTGTGCATTTCCGATCAGAAGTCACTCCTTTGGGATTGCCAAACTCAAGCAGAGAAAACACCCCTGCACACCCGCTCCCAACTGCTTTAGCCTTTTCTAAACCCCATGTTATTTGTGGTCCTAGACTCAATTCAGTAACTACCTCATCTCAAAACTCCGATAACAGGGTTGAAAGTCCAGGCACAGCAAACTATTTGTTGACCTGCACTTGCTAAATTGTTGATTTTACTGAAACCAGAGATTGTTCCTGACAGCTTGTGAAACAATAGAAACGATTTAAAATGGAGGGAGACTACAGCAACATAACGTAGTCCAAACAGTATGCTGGAGGTTTGCAATCCAGGATACTTGGTCGGAAAGAGAAACAGTTAATTTCTGCTTTTGTTTCCAAACTGCAGCATCCGCAGTTCTAGTTAATGTCTAGAGTCTGACTGAACTCCTCCCAAACTGAGGGGGGTGCTGGAAAATGATGTTTTTGAAAAATATTATAGACTGAGGGGGAGCAAGGGAACAGCTGGCAAGGGTGCCCAGAACCAAAGGCAGAGGTTGCTAACATTGGCAAAGGAGCAATGGAGATGTCAAATGGGTGTTAATGAAGGTATGAAAGGGAGAGTCTGCCCACACTGCTCAGAGCAAAGTCAACAAGTCACAGCCCTGTGGGCAAATGTAAGAAAACTGGAAAAGGCAAACCAGGGAGGTATTTAGAGTTAATGGAAGAACCTTGGGGACTGTTACCAAATGGAGACACCCAGGGGTGTGGGTACATAGTTCCTTGAAAGTGGAGTCACAGGTGGACAGGGCAGTGAAAGCAGCGTTTGGTATACTTGCCTTCATTGGGCAGTGCATCGTTGCAATTGTACTGGACATTAGCGAGGCCACTTTTAGAACACTGCATACAATTCTGGTCACCCTAATAGAAAGGATTTTGTTAAACTGAAGAAAGGGTGCAGAAAAGACTTAAGATTGTTACCAGGACAGGAGGATTTGAACTGGACGGAGGTGGTGAATAAGCTGGGGCTTTTTCAAGCCCTCGGAGCATCAGAGGCGGAGGGGTGACCTTGTAGAGGTTTATAAAATCATGAGGGGCATGGATAGGATGAATAGATAAGGTCTAAAACTAGAGGACATAAGCTTAAGCAGAGGGTAAAGATTTGAAAAAGGACCTGAGGGGGTAACTTTTCCCAGAAGGTGGTGCATGTATGGAATGAGCTGCCAGAGGAAGTGGTGGAAGCTGGTACAATTACAACATTTAAAAGGCATCTGGATGGGTATATGGATAGGAAAGGTTTAGAGGGATATGGGCCAAATGCTGGCAAGAGGGAGATCAGATTGGGATGTCTAGTTGGCACAGACGAGTGGGACCAAAGGGT